ACTCACATCCACAAATCCTGATTGTCTTTCAACAATTTCATTACCCTTAAGAAGTTCTGCACTTCCTAAAATCAAAATGCCAGGATCCTACTCATTTTCCCACTCTTGACAAAGTCGCAAGGAAAAAATATCCACACGCAGTCTCAATTCTCGAGAAACTTTAAATATGAAGGTATATCTAGGCATTTAATAACTTCGGATTGAGACATCGCATCATAATAATATGTGATATGATCTTATAAATTTTATTATTGTTACTTGTTTTATAGCTCTTTTTATTCATTTGGCTTGAGTGGAATTTATTTTTTCTTTATTTGATATAATTTGGCTTGGTATCTTTTTGCAAGCTGTTCAGCTATAAATAGAAGCTGTAAATTACACAACAGGGGTAACTCTTAGCTTCTTCTACAGATCTCCATATTATATGGTCTATGACTGTCCCTCTGTGTCTTAGAGTAAAACAAATTATTTTTCAATTTCAAATGCTGAGAAAGAGAGACCTGTAGTGGGGGCTAGGTATCTCTGTCTACTAAGGCTATTAACTATAAGTTAAATTTATTTATTTATTTATTTATATATTTACCCTTTATGTACACATTGAATAGTGAATCTGAAAACTTACACACATGTCTACTAACTACTGTTTGGAATTTTTGCTGCAGTACGTGCTCTTGGGAGAAATACAGGTGTGTGCAAAATTTGTAGGAATCATGATGGTGAAGACTGGCTTGGTTGTGACCAGTGCTATCAATTCTTTCACGTCAGTTGCAGAAGTGTGGACTTTCAGCACTTTGAGGAAAATTTCAGCACTGGAACAGCACTTTCAGGAAAATTTTATTGCTAATGTGCAGCTAGGATGAAGTGATGCAAGGTGCAAATGTAAATATATGTAAATAAGATGTAAATTCCAATGATGTAAATTATTTTGGTAGAACTGTACAAATTATCTTGTCAGAAATTAAATGAAGCAATGTACTATTATACCTGAATTTTTGTGGTAGTATAATACCAACTATATTGCTATATCTGAATCCTTACATTCATTATTGTGATATCCCAACCAAACAAATGATCTAACCACTCTATTACTCAACTATTCTTATTATAAATATGAGAGCCCAACATATAACATTTAAGAAAGCCATCAAAACAATTTAAAGTTTAAAAGTAAATATATTTGTAACGTTTCGTCTTTAACCTAAGACATCTTCAGACAAGTGATATAAAATTACATGAGATTTGAGTATATATAATCTATTTACATAATTATGTAAATTAATGACGGATAGGAAGGTATAAGATAGTACATGACAAAACCGCACAGACGAAGGGGCATAAACACAATGCAAAAACTATGAAAACACGTTGCAGAAGATTAAGTGGGATTGAGCTGCCCTGGATGTTAAGTGATGGTTTGAGTTTGGAGATGTGGAGGCTTTCATGAATCATGAGTTCATGTTTGTCAGAACATGAAGAAAGAATTTTAAAATCATCAAAGTCGGCACAGTGCCCTGCAGTGGTTATGTGGGAGAAGATGCTGGACAAAACTGGACTAGATGACGGTTTTCCAGTTATAGGGGAAATTCCCAAGTGTTCCGATACTCTGGTGTGAAGATGGCGTGTGGTTTGACCCACGTACGATGCGGAACAGCATCGACACTTGAAAAGGTATACAACACCAGATTTCAGAAACTTGGGAACTTTATCTTTAAATGGAAAAAAGGAAGAAATACGTGTGGTGGAACGAAAAACAAAGCGAATATTAATTAAGATGCGGATAAGCAGCATTACAAAGTCGAGTAATTTGATTGCGAATCTGAAGCGAGTGGGAACCAGTGAAGGGAAGGCAAAAATAGACCATTTTCTTTGAAACTGTGTGAATAAGTGGTTTTGGCTCAAAGGTATTGTTAAGGAAGCGACGAACTAATTCGTCAAACATATGAGCGGGATAACTATTCAAGTTGAACAAATTCCTGACAACCTCAAGTTGGATATGAAAATTTTCATAATTAGAACAGAGGTTGAAGATTCCGTGAAGTAAACAGGAGATTAAAGAGCGTTTATATTCAACAGGAATGAAACTCTGGAAGTTGGTAAAAAGACCGGTAAAAGTGGGTTTACGATAAACAGAGGTGGAGAATTTACCTCTTGAGCGAGTTATTTCAATATCTAGGAAAGGCAGCTTTCCGTCTCTTTCCAATTGAGATGTAAAGGAGATATTAGGGTGCTGGCAGTTTAGGTAATTTAGAAAAGTAGGAACATGATCCAAGGATCTGAAAAGAAGAAAACAATCATCAACATAACGTCGATATAGAATAGGTCTGAAAGAAGGAGGATAGTTGGAGAGCCATGATTTTTCATGGAAAGACATGAAAATATTGGCGAAGAGTGGTCCTAGAGGGCCATACCCATAGCCACACCATCAATCTGCTGATAAATCTGGCCATTAAAGGAAAAATGCCGGACAGTTTTTGACAGAAAGAGAAAAGAGTTTGGTGAATTGTGAACGATCAAGGCCTTCAAAACACATACAGTTTGAAAAAATGAGATCTGAGATGATCTCAATCGTTTCATCTACAGGAATATTAGTGAACAATGATGCGACATCAAAACTGGCCATAACTACATGGTCTGAATCAATGTCACTGCTCAACAGTTCCTGAACAAAGGAAAACGAGTCCTTTATGACAAAAGAACTGATAGAGATTGGAGTAAGGAAAGGAATGAAAAACTTAGCTATTGCGTACGAATAGTGATTGATACATGATAGAATGGGCCTTAAAGGAATAGAGGATTTATGAATCTTTGGAAGTCCGTATAGTATGCCAATGCGTGTACCAGTGGGATACGGCTCATTGTAAGTTCTTTCGTTGATGCAGTTGCCAGCCTTCAGTTTCTTTAGCAACGCTTTAACTTGATTCTCACGTTTCAGGGTGAGTTTAACTGCGTCGTCTTTCAGAGGTTCAAATCATTGAAGTATCCGATAGGATTTCGTCCATCTTCATATTATAGTCATCTTTGTTGAGAATTACAACACCGTTACCTTTGTCGGGTTTCATAATTACAACGTTGCTATCGCTCCTAAGGTCTTTGAGAATGTCCAGTTCTTCCTGGGTGTAGAAGGTGTTAGGTCGATTGTAGCTGCGGAAACCGGAGTATGCTATATCTTTTAACTTAACTTTGAAATCAAATCTCATGTAATTTTATATCACTTGTCTGAAGATGTCTTAGGTTAAAGACGAAACGTTACAAATATATTTACTTTTAAACTTTAAATTGTTTTGATGGCTTTCTTAAATGTTATATGTTGGGCTCTCATATTTATAATAAGAATCTGTTTTCCGCCTGGCAAATCTCTAGCTACGATATTACTCAACCACTTAATTTCCCAACTGACATTAGTACCCGACTGTAGTACCACTGGTACTCATTGGGTAATCATATACAAGTAGATGAGTACCAGAGTGGTGGGGTACTAGAGTCAATTTGGTAAAGAAGTGGTGAGAAAATATAATACTGGGCACTACAGTGGTTGGGTATTAAAGTAGTTGGGTAATCAAGATAATAGCAAAAGCCTTCCACGATCCTGCAAGGTCATGGAAAAATCTTCCAGTATTCTGCATGATCATAGCCAAAAACAAACATGCAGTCGCACTCGGCCGCCGAAATCGTAGCTTTCGCAATCGTCATGTTTTTCGCTCGAGTAAGCCGCGAAAGTGATGACTCGTCACGCGTGGTCATGTATTTCGCAATGGTCATAAATTTCGCTTGACACCGGGTTTAAAAATTCCGGGGATTATCGTTCTGGGGCCGGTTGTATAAAGCCCGTTTAGCTTAAACGGTGGATAAGTTAAAAACAGAAAGCAAGTCTGTGGTTTTATTTAACAGGCAAACTTAATGTTTTTTACCTTAATACAAAGATACTGTTTAAAACTACATATTCAGTGCATAATATTCACATTGACTCATTCAAGAGAGTTGTAAGAGTGTTATTTGATTTTGACTTATCCACCGTTTAAGCTAAACGGGCTTTATACAACCGGCCCCTGGGTTCTAAAAATTTTAAAGATTATCGCTTCAGATTTTAATTTTCCGGAGATTCTCATTCCAAGTTTTATAGTTTCCGGAGATTCTCATTCCGGGTTTTAGAGATTCCGTAGATTCTCATTCCTATTTTTCAAAATTCCGGAGATTCTCGTTCCCGCTTCCCCGTTACTCGTTCCCCGTTCCTTGATTCCCCGTCCCTTCATTGCCCGCTTCTGGTTTTAAAGATAACCCAATGAAATGCGTTTCATTCCACTCTCCAGAGTTCAACTGTGGTATACATTTTGTTCCATTGCACTCTTTATGCTTTGAATAAATACCATCCGTCAAAATGCTTTTCGCAAACGTGTTCGCATTTATTTACATTTCTCAACTTATTGAAGATTCAGGCGATGAAAATACGAAAAAGACAAAGAAAATTTGCCGTTTCTTGCATGAACTCCTTTTGTGTATGTGGTTATGTATTTAAATTTGATCCATAGAATACGTTCGTAATATAATAAATTCTTGTTGAAAAGTGACAGTCTATTTTGGTATTATATAAAACAAATATTGAATGTTTTCACTCTTGCAATGGTAAAAATATTTTCACTTGGCTAAAGAAAAAATGCTCCATTCAAGTCAGCTATCGCCTCGTTGAATGGAACATTTCATCTTTAACCTCGTGTAAATATCCTTACCATTGCACTCACAAGCAATGTTATCTGAACATCTGAATTTGGATATTGTTATCACCTTTAGTCCTTGTCTTTGCATCAAGTGGCTCTAGTGAAGGAGGCACTTCCCCTCAATAGAATGAATGATATATTCTCCTTGTTATATCCGCCAGTGTCTGGAGCTGTTTTTTATGCCCGGTATTTCCCAGCAGAGAATTGTTTCGATATTGTAGCTGAGTAGCACAGTCTTTCTTTCATTTCGTTGAACACAAGTAGTTTCCTGTTTACTGTGACCTTTTTATTCGTATGAGCCTCATGGAAACTACTGTCGCTACCACAGAAAAATTGCGATGTCATTAAATCATCATCCTTGTGGTAATTCTGTTTAATTTCTCTCTACGAAATATCTTCGCGCATTCTACCAAAGATTCCGTGTTAGAATTCCAAGCTTTTATTGCAATTGTATGTACTTTACTGTATACTGACCTCAGAACTTGCTTGTATGCTAATCTTTAGAGCTTATATTATAGAGCGTGCCTATGTCCTAACAATAGCTTTCTATTAATTTTACTAATGTCATGCACGTACTTGTAAGCTTTTCTTAAAATTTAATTAATAAATCATCCCTGCTTTAACGTCATTATAATTAATAAAGGTTTATTGAATTTTTTACCCACTCTAAGGTAATTTGGAATACAACCTGGTTCAAATGAGCTTGCGTGCGATTTATCAACTCCGAAATCCAATATTCCTATTCATCCGCAAGGGTGGGATAGCATAATTATAAAATGTATAGCTATGTTTCCTATATCAGGCAAATCCTAAAAGCTTGATTGGATAATAGATTTGCCTTTTAACTGCAGCCAACCACACAGCAAAGTTCAATTTTGGCCTTAAAACGTGTAACGAAATAGTGTGAGAGAGGATTTCCTTCTGCATTGCTTTCTTTATTGCAGAATGTATATAATGTTGTACACGTCTATACATACTGTATGCACTCGAACGCGTGTCAGGGGTGTAGCATGCGGGGGTGCATGTTTGGTTGGCGCTACACCTTAGTTTTAAAAAGGTGGTCGGTTAAACGAAATTTCGGTTGATAATAGCACACAATCGTCGGTTTTTGCTCAACTTGCTAAGCTGCTTGCGATAATTTGAGAAGTCGTCTCACTCGTCTGCTTCAACTAGTGCCAAGAGTTCTTCGATAAAACTTTGGTGTTGCACACCCAGCATATGACATTTTGGCAATGATTTTGCAATTACAATGATCGTCTTCAGAACCAGAAATTAACCACCCGCTTATGGATGCTGGCGACGCCACTTAGTTCAAATACTTATAGAGTATTGTTGAATATTTCATATTAAAGTTATTGCACTGTATATCATAGGAACACCTAAAAGAAAATAATGGCGATCACAAATCACTCTACGAAATTGATGAACTTCATCGCGTTGTGGAACATTTACACGTCTTCTTAAGCCTCTAAAATGCGATGCAAATGTAGTTACAGCCTTAACGTTTACCGATGCCCGCCCGCTACGAGCAGAAATGTGAACTTTAGTGTACCTAAAAACAGTAATATCAGTAATATAACTAATATGCTAGGAGAAACGAGGAAAAATGGATATATCGTTCTAGTTACGCCCCAATTTTCTGTATGGCCCGGATTGCTTATAGTGTTTTTGCTGAAGTCAAACTAATGCATGAAATATGACTCGGTATGAGAAAGAAATTTTCATCATACACACTCCATTAACGTAGTGATGGCGTCAATTTGTAATATTTTGGATTTTTTTTTCATTCGTAGATCAATTGACCTTTTTTCCTTTCAAACTTTAACTATTCATCCATATTTTTTCTTCTTGCTCTTATTCGTTTTTTTTCCTTCCACTTGCCAAATTAATGAATGCCAGATTCGTTTATTCACCTTTGAGTTATACTAAAACAAATATTCAACTGAAGTGAAATGAAATTTCTTTAATGATGTAGCATCAAATGTGGTATAACGACTGCCTAAAATAAACAAAATACTTCTCGACGCTTCGACCTGAGGGCCTTTATCAGGAGAGTTAGCAGGCCCTCGATCAGGTCGAAGACCCTCAGGTCGAAGGCCCTCCGGTCAAAACGTCGAAAAGTGTTTTGTCTATTTTAGGCAGTCGTTATACCACATTTGATGCTAAGTTGTTTGAAGACGCTGCCACGTTGCTCCCTGGTTAGATTCTTTAGTGATGGTTCAATCAACCTGAAAGCTTATGTTCCGTCAGGGTAACAAACTTAGAAACTATTATTTTTTGAATGTGAAGAAAGCTAAGCATACCTAGTTTTAGTGTGCAGTGATAACCAATTTGTGCAGTGATAAAAGTAGAATGTGCAGTGATAAAATGAGAAATGTGCAGCGATAAATGGTGTTTTCTCAACAGACCTCACTCTGCTAAAATGGATTTTTATCATACCCCTCCCCCCTCCCTCTCCTTGTGATGATTTGCGCAGTGATAAAAAAATCTTAAAATTCGCTATGATTTGAACTTATTCTAGCATTATTTAGTTATTTATTATCAGTATATTTACCTTGACCGATTTTCTCTGAAATTTGTAGCATGATTCATAAATTCATAAATTTCTTTAAAGAAACTCGTCGGGTTTCTTTATGAAATTCGCTTCCGAATCGATTATCCAACCCAGAACCATTTCATTGATCCGTAGATACCAAATCACAAAGTGTCTAACTTTTTTTAAGATTATGACATTTTATACGATATACTTCACCACTTTTTATGATACAGGTGTTTCCTTTCCTTTTTATTCTTTTGCCTACTAGCACATTGTAACATCAATCATTTCAGTCAGTTTATCACGCAAATATTTCAATTCACAGACTGACATGTTCTTACTATATCATTACCTCAATAAAAACGTAGAAGGATATAAAAATATCACTGCCTAGCGCCTGGGACGTTCTTTCCATGCTTCTTTACTCTCAATACAGTGCACGTGAATTTAGTATTTTGGCCATGTGGTTAAACATATTATTTACATGAACATGCTTTCTGAAGACGAAGAGCGAAAAACGATAATTCCACCAATTCATTTATAGACTCATGTTATCGCAGCTGTTGACCGACAAACGATTACCGGTCACATGTCACCGGGGGCCATACATGAGGAATAATTTATTTCAAGAGAACGTATTAAAACTCCTGTACTCTGTAACCCAACGTTTGTTGAATGCTATTCCACTGATGTTATTGTCGAGCACGAAAACGGCTGAAATGGGCAAATATTTTCATCGCCTCGATGATTTTCCTGACCTTTTCCGGTCACATATAACTTATTATAAAGTGAAGCTTGTTAGATTTTTGATTACGCATTCCTTGTTCACTGTTGATATTGTCGAGAATTCTTTTCTGAACAAAGCAGAAATGACTATCACCTTAGCAGCTATGATACAGATCTCTCACTTCTAAAATCTAAGAAAGAATTACGAAAGAACTCAAAGAAGCTTTAGATATAGTGGAGCTGTATTGTGGAATAGTCTGCCCATTCGATATAATTTATGGTTTCAAAAGACAAAATTTCGTTGTAAATAATATTCGTTTTGTATTTGTGTTTATTAGTTGTTTTTTTACCCAATCTAGGCTAAATAGACGCCCCTCACGAAAATCAGCTATTTAGCTGATGAGGTTAGCGTCTTAAAAGAAATTAAATACATATAAGATACATACATACACACATATATGCATATAAAGTGCGTGTCATTGCATGCATGCGTGTTTATATCAATCAAGACGTTACCTCTTTGCCGAATATTTGTTAGATTTACCCAATATAAACATTTCATTTTGTGTGCATTGGCTTAAATCGGACTTAGTCTACAATGATTCGGGATTGATGGGAGGTTATTTACTAGTATATTTCAGTGTATTGCAATTCTGGAAGTGTGGTCTGCTATATAGCAAATTATTAAGAGAGACTGCATATTGCGTGAACTATATATTATGTTTACAATTATTACCGAATGGGTATTCAAAACAATGAATGCATGTGTTTCCTTTATTCCGCCTAGCGAAACACAAAGTTAGGAAAACGTGTAATCTCCGTGTAATTTGTGTAAATTGTAAAAATGTGCAGCATATAGATGATTGTGGTTTACATAGCGGAAATCATCAAATCTCACCAAAATTATATGCATGCTCTTCGAAACCGGATTTGCGATAAAATTACCGGCCGTTTCGATCAAGGGTAAGTATATAGTAATATAGTAAACCAAATTAATTGTACGTGTCTTCCACTAGAAAAAACATTTGCATATTGTTCTTGTAATTGTACCAAGTTTATCATTATTGTAGTCGCAATCTTCAGACACTGCATAACAACTGTAATAATATATCAGTTATCCTTTGTTATAAAGTAGAGTCGAGACGCCTTCGCAAGAATATATTGGTCAACTAAATGAAAATATAGGAAGCTCCTAGCACGATCTTTGTATGTTTAAGCTCATGCATTTGCTTTTGATTCGGGAAATGAAAAATTTCTCCACTTTTGTTGCATGATTTATCACCAAAGTGTAATTTTCAGCTACTTATACAGGAAATGCATGGTATATATGACCGCGTGCATGCTGACAGGAAACGCTCATTCAGCTTATGACAAACAGCGAATCAATATCAAAGCTGACAAACAGACTCAAAAAATGCAATCCTTTCAATAATGAGAAAGGCATGTGTGACAGGCTTATAAGGATTATATGATTCACCGTTTAGAGTTGATGTTATAGTTACTGCGAATCAGGAAGTTGGAAGAGTAATATCAACACCTTATACAATATTATAGCATTGCTTTGAAGACTCGGTAGAAATTAAACTGCTGCTATAAAGCTCTCCGATAAGAATACAAGCAAGCCAATTTTTCAGTTTAAATATACAGAGGTAAGCGTGTTGGAAAATATGCATGTATATAATGTTCGAGAATATACGTCATAAATGTTTTAGCCGTAATTAGCGCTCTCGATCTTTTCACCGAGGTTTTCTAGGCAAAGAAGTTAAAACTTTACGAAATTAAGTTATTGGAATACAGAATATCATTCCATGAATTTGATAAATGCATGGTAGATAATATATATACTTTACCTTTTAAATTGCAATTTTTCAGTGACAACAACAACTTTCGATACGGGCGATTTTAAGAAATATTTTAAAATTTATTAGAATACATAGTAGCTATATTTTTCGATATGGTATACTTAAGTTCAATTCTAGAATGTTGTTCAATAGAGCGAATAAATAATTTGCCTAGTAGCTAATCCTTTTGTTTAAAGGTCAATCTATATAAAATGACTGTAAATCTGTGTTTAATCAATTAATGTTAGGATGCTTGCTTCAATTTCTATAAACTGTGCACGAAGCACATTATAGGAAAGAAGCATGGTCAAGCATGTCTGCTCTACGTACGGCACACAATAGCATAGACTTTCCCAATGGTCGCGGTCTGACAATATGTGTATAATTGTTCAGTATATGAAAAGTATTCCGTCAAACATGCAATTGCTTTGCCATGCATCGGGCGAGAGTTGCACTGTCCAGCAAAAAATTAAATAACTTTATTGTCAACTGTTGGCATTTATGCGGTTATGAGAGGTTTATTTATTATAATCTGCCACGACATTCATTTTTCCTGCCAATCTTTAATTATTGTATACTAGCACTAAACCACGATGCCTAATACACGGTGTCACTGGTTTAGTTTAACAAAATGGAGTTATATATGTGACTTAACTGCTATACAGAATTAATTTGCAATTTCAATTTGCGAAAAATAATATAAGCAATGCTATACTCTAAGCGTATAGTATTTTTCTTATCAAAACTTTGTTCATCCATGAACTTCTGAAACATCATTTCGAAATTCTATAAAACCACACCATCCAGGAAAATGATTCGCAGAAGCTTTTAATCTATAGGCGCTTAATTTAAAAGTGTCTAGTATTACAGCGTCTAGTATTTATGTCAATTTAACGAGTTTGGGGAATTTGCATGGTGGATTGATGGCTAACGATTACAAAATTAAGACATTTTTCATTGATCAATGCGCGTGATAACAGACAACAGACAATAACAGTTTTTCATGCCCAAGCAAGACAGGAAAAATTTAGGCGTTTAGCAATAAATCTAAGGATTTTGTGAAAACTAGTGGGTTTTTTTATTCACCAAAGGCGAAGTATCGTGTAATGTGAAGAATAAGTTTCTCCGACCCTACCTACCAATTTGCGAACGTTATACTTGTGCAATTCTGCTGTACTTATTAATTGCAATACTTGCACGTGCATATATTAACAAAAATTTGACCTCATAGATAAATTTAGCAAAGTATAGACTGCATTATGAGGCGATTGGATTTAAAATATTCATATTAAACATTTGGTGTTAAAAATATGAAGAAGAATATTTCCTTAAATTCAAAATGCAGCAGGAATTTATCTTCAAGTGTACTGTTTTTATAATAACACAGTGGTTGAACTCTCAAGGTTTTTATTAATAATGTTGCGCCACTCATTGCGCAAAGTGGACCGGGTTTTTTAGCTTCGAATTGGATGCGCTGCTTCTAATAAATCCTTGCAAATGTAAAATGAAATAAGAAATTAAAGCAGCAAGAAGTCGTGCAAAAGCAAAAGCATTATAATTTGTGGAATTTCTGGGTGTATTTACCGCCTAGTATAGGGAATATTGAGCAAAATATCTCAATGGATTTACCGAGTATGTGAGGAATATTGAAATAACGAAATAATTTTATATGGGTGGATTACCGTATAAGTATATAAAAATATCGAACAAAATAACGAGTTGGGTTTTGTGAATTGATAAATAACGATCATCATGTTCCAAAAATATTTCAATTATTGATCAATTTAATTCCTGGGCTGTTACTAACGGATATACAGTCATAATATCTCCCATGCAACTAAAGGCAATAAGGCAAAATAAATTTAAGTTTTAAAGAAGCTGAATTTGCAACATAGTTGATAATGTATTTATAAGAACAAGCCAATTAGTCAAAATCAGTTAGCCAAAATCAGCGTACGTATACTCAATTACTGCAGAGACAAAATGGGTTTCTATCACTGACAGTTAATCGCGTTGGCATGTGATATTACAGTTTAAACCTGCTAGGATATGAATTAATTTTTGAGAACATTGCGATGGGGGGAGGGGGGGGGGGCATGAGGCCGGTAAATAGATCATAAAAGATCCATTACTTGCTTGTTTAATTTCTAACGTGATAGCTTCGAAATCTGTGGGAACAAAGCCAAACACCGCCACCCCCTCTATTTCTATAAGAACCTGCTCCATTTCTATTTCGATCAACACGAAGTAAATCGTAGTCATCAATGCGTACTAACTCATCAGGTATACAGCTGATTCAATTAAGTTTGTGACAGGCAATAGCCCAATATATATTCCACGCGCAAGAGGCATGAAGGGATTGATGGCATTTTATGCATAATTATGCAACGATTGAAGTTATTATTGGAAAAGCATTGTTGAGTATAAATATAATCATCTCGTGGGAGTAGTGCGATGATGAACTTAAGGCTGTTATTATACTGTATAGCGGTAATGTGGAATACACGTTGTTTTGTATTATAGAAATAACCGAAATCTGCTAATCACGCTGAAATCTGCTGAAATCTGCTAAGTTCCTCTTTAAACTGCTTGAACAGGAACTCACGTAGCGCTTTCACATCGTTAAAAATGTCGACGTTTTGACATGTATATGTGCCATTCTGCCTTTTATTACCTTCCCGTGTAACTTTTAACATGATATTAACGCTTTCTTCCTTGTAATTTTCCATGACTTTGGAACCGAATATCCACCAAATGCCCTATTTATCAATCTAACTGTTTTCTCGCCTGCAAAGTGCAACCACAAACTACAAGGTGTCCCAAAAAAACGAAAACTATTGAAATCACCCATAACAATGTAATTGTTAGAGTTTGAATGCCTAAGCACTCTGTTGGGACCCACAAGCCTGTGTAAATGTTTGCCATAAGCATTTTTATGCATGCATATGATTCAGTAAAATTTGCTCGTACGCGAAAATGATATTTATTAACAATATTTAAAAGTGCATCTCAATCACCATGACCTTCGACATGTCCCTTTCTCCAGCAACACAAAGCATTTAGCATTTTACTGAGTTGCATTAAATCCCCACGGGCTAAAATTCGTGCACACGGCATTCAAATTTTAACAATGAGTGATTTCAATAGTTTTCGGTTTTTTTTGGGACACCCTGTATTGTGATAAATGCACATGTTCGTTTGGGAATTGCAAAATCACCGCATTTTTCATATGTGTCTTTTGTACTCTGTTGCTCGCATAGTGTCATTGTTTGGTCGGATGATAACATAATAAAATAATTAGCGTCCATTAACGACACCATTCAAAATATGTCGATGCATTAGTTAAGGATAATTTCCACACAAGGTTTTTGTGCATAGAAGTGAAAATGTTTGATTGGAATTAAAATCGTATTCCCCTATAGGGCCAAACTACAGGGTGAGTCAGAAAAAAGTCCCCTCTATTGAAATCAAGCCTTTGTTAGAATCTGATTGCCTTAATATTATGATAAACCCAATTGAAAGCAAGACGCTTTATTTGAATGCCTCAACCTAATAACTATGCTATTTACACACTACTGCGTTGATCATGCATTCAAATCAACAAAGGCTTCATTTCAATAGGGGGCACTTTTTTTTTACTCACCCTGTAGATTGAATGTTACATTAAATTGCTATATATGATATATACCACTCTAGGCTATAGCTATAATTGCATCCATTGTACGTAGTATGTGGGTCATAACTGTTGTATCAAAACATGGTCTATTAACTTCTGAAACATGCCTTTTTGAATTCTGCAACGAAATGAGTTGTATGTAGGCTATACTTAATTGTCACTCCAAACTCTTTGTCATCAAGGAAAAAGCCTGATTTACACCGAAAGGGCCGGTTGTATAAAACTCCCTAACTACATTTTCCATAATGAAATCCTATGTAACTCAGATATACACGACTCTGATTAGCCATTTCTGTTCATAACTACAGTTAAAAGTTAATCTATCTTTTATATACAACTGGCCGCAGCCAGGGTAAGTTTGCAATTGCTAAATCTTAAATAGAAACATGACTTTAATTAAGCTCGTGTTAAGTATTATCGACATTCGATGATGTAATTTACCCCGGGTAAGCCATTAAAGCAGGATAAATTTTGGGCTTGAGAATTTTAATGGGATGTTAATGCATTAATCCCCGCGATCACACTATAGTTCAAATCAAACAAACAAGATTTTGCGGTAAACAGTCAGATGTGACGCATTGTTAACCAATCAGATTCGGGAATAGATGAACTTTGAGACTTGCTATATTATATAAACTATGTTACAATGGAAGGTAAGGATTGCTGCGAGCATTTTAGGGTCCAAGTGAATTGTTATATGAAATGTTAGTAAACTAAATCCGTTTTAACTAATAGCAATAGCAGGTTTAAAACACGTAAAGTGAACCTCTATTGAGCGTTAACTCGCTGGGACTGTACATGAATTAATACCTGTTAGCGAGAACACTGTCAATGTCTAATAAACACGATTCGCAAGCCTCTAGCCGCATACTTGAAACATCATTTGATGCAAAATATGGAAATCAGCAAAAGAATACAAAATGCCAATGGATAAAAAAGACTTTAAGGCATCTGTATGTAAGACTTGATTTGCTTCACAGCACTGACGGCTCAACTGCCGTCAAACAAAGCAAATTAGCAAATTGGATGGTACATCTTAATATTCTGGAAGAATTTATATAGTTCGTATATAAACAGTGTGAATCTAGCTGTGATCGATTGTATGCTTTTAGCGTTTCATAAATATACAAATTAAAACTGTAAACAACTGTAAACGTAACATATGAGCGAAAGATGAAAATATCTTACCTTGAATAGTCAAAATAGAACAGAAGCTTCAAAATTTAACACAAATTTGAAGATCCTGTCCATCGAAATAAAGAGCACATGGATATGAGCGAGTTTAAAATTTGTGTTCTACGCATAAAAAACGCGCACGACCACAATTCCTTGCGCTGAAAAGAATTAAGTTCAGAACCCGCTTTCTAAACAAATTAAACTGCTGCTACGCTCGCTCGCTTCAGACTCGCTCGCTCCGCAGCAAATACATTTAGGCTATCTGTAAAAAAAAAGGGGAATCGGGGAAAAGAATGGGGAAAGGAACGGGGAACGGTAAAACCAGGAATGAGAAAAGCCGGAATCTGTAAAACCAAGAATATAATATAATTGAAGCACGGTAAACCATCAACTTCGCCGACATTCTTCTCAGCGTCTGGCTTGTTGTGCGTTCGACTAACGACGAAAAGCCTCCAAAAACAGACATTCCAATTTCGAATTCTCAAACAAGATATTATTGTTGAAGAAATAATACAGTGTGTATAAAAAGAATTCGAATCCAACTTTGACAGGCTGCTGTGTATAAAATACTAAAGTAAACGATATGATTTTTATATGGCAACAAAGATTAGCTTATTTAGCTTGCGATTATACCGTTCTTATATCGACACGACCAAAACTGGCCGAGTTATCGTCTTTTAAAAATTGTTGCTCGAAATCAAGTTTTTCCGCCGATGGGAATTCGAAGTGAGACCTCCAAACAAAAGGAAGTGCAAATTTAAACAATAAATGTTCGTTGTTCCGTGCTTAATTCAGGCATTGTGTTCTTCAAAGCTATCGTTGAACATTGAATAAGCAGAATTTTTGCGATAAATTTGCATTTTAGTTTTCAGTAACAATTAAATTTTAAAGCCCTTTGGGGTCCACTAACTTTCAATAAAACAAACGTCCAATCCCCATCGGCGGAAAATTGTGATTTTTATGAACTTTTTTTGTCGAACCAGTACTCCTTCACTTTTCAACTAAATGATACGTGCAGCGTGTCATATGAAAGAGAAATAAATGAACTTCACAATTGTGTAACCATATTTGTATATTATATATATATATATATATATATATATATATATATATATATATATATATATATATATATATATATATATATATATATATATATATATATATATATATATATATATATATATATATATATATATTCACAACGCTCGAAACAAAGCACGAAGAAGAAAATAATACAGATTATCAGGCATAATGCATTTAAATGAAGCGTATAAGCCCCAATTAAGGGGGAATGGTGGCTATAAATAAGGTGGATCTCACTGCATCTCCCACTTCAAATTCGATCGAGCGCCCAGGAAGATAGCGGCGGCGACCCACCCGCGCAGCCCGATCACTGAAAATTCGTTGTGATCCCAGAATATCGGATGCACTTGTACCACATATGCACCTGAGCGCTCGATCAATGCTCCCATACTCAAAACAAAAGGAGTGCAAGTGAGAGCATTGGAAATAGAATACTATGGTAATAATATAGAAGGGGCTAGTAGCTCAGTCCATTCCTGGTTTTACAGATTCCGGCTTTTCTCATTCCTGCTTTTACAGATTCCGGCTTTTTTCATTCCTTGTTTTACAGATTCCGGGTTTCCTCATTCTTGTTTTTACAGATTCCGGCTTTTCTCATTCCGGGTTTTACAGATTCCGGCTTTTCTCATTCCTGGTTTTACAGATTCCGGCTTTTCTCATTCCGGTTTTACAGATTCCGGCTTTTCTCATTCCTGGATTTACAGATTCCGGCTCTTCTTATTCCTGGTTTTACCGTTTCCCGTTCCTTTCCACATTCCTTTCCCCGATTCCCCGTTCCTTGTTTTACAGATAGCCAATACATTTATATGCCAAAGCCAAAGGACTCAATTCAGCAATCCGATTATTTAGCTCAACGTTTGGAGAATTGAATTAGCTCCCACACCAGGAGGACAGGTATTAAACAGCACCAGCAAAAGTGTTTAAATTATAAGTTCTAAAACAGCACTATTCTGGAGTACTGCATGTATCCGGCCTGTGAGCGGCTTTTTTGGTAAAATTGTAAAAGAAGATTATTACTTAAACGCTTTGAAAAGTCAACCGCAAACATATCGATCAATAGACAACTTTTAGCCCTGCATGAGGATTTTGTATTGTTTTGCTTGTTTGAAGGTTGAATTTTTGAGCCTTACGCATTAGCTATGAGCGTTCATAAACTGTCTGCCTTTAAACGGATCGATTAAAAGGATTACTTTGATGACTATAAATTATATTTGTTTTCGAATAATAGGAATATCTATTATCGACTGATTTGAATTTTTACAATACGGGCTTGTCAAGCTCAAGAAATTATTTGGTACGTTTAAATGGCAAGGGTTTGCTTGAATGTATTTCTAGTTAGAATTAAATAGGGCGTGTGATGACATGAAATTTGTGAATATTTTCAGAACATGTACTCATCATCATGCAGCTTGGATCTAGAAACTGAAACTGGAACTCAAAGGCCACATGAGTGCAATTTTAGTAATAGGAGTTTTTTTCAATCAAGCTATTTAAAAAGACATAAAAGGACACATATGGGAGGGAAGTTACATGAATGTGATGTTTGTAAGAAGATATTTCGTGAAAGGAGCGATTTAACAAGACATAAGAAAACACACACTAGAGAGAAACCTTATAAATGTGATTTTTGTAAGAAGATATTTTCACATGTTAGTATTTTGGTTAATCATCAAAAAACGCACACCGGAGGAAAGCCTTATAAGTGTGATTTCTGTAACAAGCAATTTTCACGCAGTTACTACCTGGCTATACATAAAAGAACACACACTGGCGAGAAACCATATAAATGTGATGTTTGTAAGAAGAGATTTTCGCGTCGTAACAATTTGGTTAGACATCAAAAAACACACACTGGGGAAAAGCCTTATGAATGCGATGTTTGTAAGAAGAATTTTTCACGTGCTAATAATTTAGTAACGCATCAAAGAACACACACTGGGGAGAAACCTTATGAATGTGAGATTTGTAAGACGAGATTTTCGCGTAGTAATAATTTAGTTAGACACCAAAGAACTCACACTGGAGAGAAACCTCATGAATGTGATATTTGTAAGAAGAGATTCTTACAGCCTGCTGGCTTAGCCAAACATAGAAGGACGCACACTGGGGAAAAACTTTATGAATGTGATGTTTGTAAGCAGCGCTTCTCACAGTATGGTGGTTTAGCAAGACATCAAAGAACACACAGTGGAGAGAAAGATTATGAATGTCATGTTTGCGAGAGAAGGTTTTGTACTTTTGCTCAATTGACTGGTCATAAAAGAACACACACAGGAGAAAAATCTTATGAATGCGATATTTGTAAAAAGAGATTCTCGCAATCTAGTAGCGTGGCTAGACATAAAAGAATGCACTCTGGAGAGAAACCTTATGAATGTGCTATTTGTAAGAAGAGATTCTTACAGCGTGGTGGCTTATCAAGACATGCAAAAACACACGCTAGAAAGAAACCTGTTGGATTTGATGATTGTGGGAGAGATTTCGAGATTCTTCTGACATGATTATTCTTCGCACATTAAGAATGTGAGTGAACTTAGAGTGTAAAATGTTTACGGGAATAGATGTTCTCATGGAAATCACCAGCATTTCTACCGATTAAACTCGTGCTTGTGCACGATGTCTTTAAAAACACGCCCCAAATCGGATATCAACTTTATATTTCCAGCATTCAGTGAAAGAGAGTGAAGAGTCTATTTGAGTCCAGCAGCTTAGTTAGGTGGGTTCAAGAAATAGACAGTTAGAAGGCAGGGTGGGAGCATTCAGCAATAAAGCTTTGATTTAAACCTTAAAAACTTTTTAAACTTCTTTATTGTTTTCTTTCTCGCAGCGTGTAGCACACCGTTTAATTTGGTAAGATTCAACATTTTCGGTGGACGGCCCCATGTCACTGGCAAACGGTTTAATTTCAAAGTTGGAGAGACAGAGCGGAGTTGAAATAAAGAAAGGTAGATATTTTTCTCCGTCCCAACTAGGGTGAAAAAGGATAATCGCGAGTACCAAACTTGTTGTAAAATAGAAAATTGTGTAGCTGTGAAAAGTTCGGCGCTTACGTAGTCCTAATGACTTGCCTATGTCGCGCTCCTCAATACATTGATTATAGTAAGTACATTATCGAAATCGAAACAAAAACTGTTAATTTTTAGTAAATTAGCTTGTAGGTGCACCACGTAAGCTTAGTTAGCTTGTATTACCAACAAGCTAATTTACTTATTGATGTCACCATGCAAGCATACAAGAATATTAATAACTTTAGATTAAAGTTTATTATCGAATTACACCAGACATTTTGGCATATATATTTTGCTGTTGTTGAATAGTTTAACTGCCTTTTGACATTAGCTACAAAGGTTGATAATTTTCATAAAAAGGCTTGCTATCAGTACCACCAGTATATGTACTACCAGACGCAAGCGCGACATATAATGTAATGTATATAATGAACCACCAGACGCAAGAACGATATAAAAATAGAAGAACACGCATGCAATATCCCCTCGCCTGAAGCCATTACAGTAGTCCCTCGCTAACTCGAACCTCCAAGGGGAAAGAAAAATTGTTCGAGTTAACCGGAGTTGGTGTCAGATTACGTTTATTATAAGTAATACAGTAAGGTATAAAATCCAATCGAATCATTCTTCAAGAGATATCATGCCTGCCAATATGAATGGTCACCGAGAGTGGGCGACGTTTTAAAATTAAAAAGATCGAAAGAATACAAAAGGAACTAAAAAAGCTAGATCAATAAAGACCGTGGCACTACAGAAAATCTTTTGAAATTTAAAATCAATTATGTAACTACATTTATACACCGATTAACTTGTTGTTATTTCGATAGTTTCGATAGATGGGACTTTTGTCTCGTTCGCACCTCCACCTCTATATATATGTGTATATATATATATATATATATATATATATATATATATATAATATATATATTATATATATATTATATATATATTATATATATATTATATATATATTATATATATACACCCATTTGCAAAAACGTTTGCCGCAGATAGATATATAGATAGATACCCGAAATCTAATTAGAATTGCATATGTTGTGTAATATGATTGAAATCCCATGCAAATGTATTCATATGCAATTCTAATTAGACTTCGAGTATCTATCTATCTATCTATCTATCTGCGGCCAACGTTTTTGCAAATGGGTGTATATATATATATATATATATTTATATATATAATATATATATATATATATATATATATATATATATATTGTATGTTAATCCTTTCTTTATGCCAGATCAATAAAGCTGTTAAATCAAATCAAATCAAATCAAATCAGCTGTCAAAACGTTATCTTCTCACATTTTAAAGTTTTCTGATCTATGATTCGAAACCAAAGTTCGAGTTAACTGGATATATTTCACCAAGGGAAAACAAAATTTGTTTGAATTAGCGAAGAGTTCGATTTAAGCGAGTTCGATCGAGTTAAGCGGAGTAAATTATTATAGAAAACACTGTCAAATTCAAGGGGAATTGGATTTAGCTTGAGTTAGCGGGGGACTATACTGTAACATATATTTCTAACAGCGAAATGCTCTTGAGCTTCAAATTCAACTATCAATGCGCGACGAATAGTTTTAAATACTACAATTTTTAGCGAAATTTTAACTGTTTTTTCAACCAAATTCACCTTTATTAAACTTAATTTGAAATAATTGCTTTTCTAATTCCAATTAATTGAAACGAAATTGCTGAATAACTTCAAAGAAAAGTCATACATTGGTTGGTAATAATAAATACGTGCTTAAAATACAATATATGTAAATCACACTTACTCTCAAAAAACGCTCTCAAAAAGCTTTATCATCCATTTAAATCAAAGTTTTTAGGTACCAAGGCACATTTTACCTTCCCTTTCACATTTTTTCTTTTCACATTCGCGAACCAATATTACAATTTAGGCAATCACACGTTTGCAACGTTTGCAACGTTTGCTATAGTTCCCTGTTTAAACTTGTATTGAACTCATGCACGCAAGTGCACAACTTACAAAAACGCTGAACGTCTATATGACATTATGGTGCTCAACTTCAATTTCGCATTTGCATCCCCGGGCGCGTAATTAAAATCTCCAGGTGGAATTAGTAGCTACGTACCGGCCTTTGACAAACCAGCATTAATGATAATAGGTAAGTGACTACATGATATATCATACTTGCTACAAATTATAGTATACAGCACCTCTACTGGGGTAACTAGCAATGCATTACGACAAAAAAGAATCGGTTCTCCATGCGTACACAAGGGTGACGAATTTCTTTGTTCTCGCAGGGGATGTAAACCTCTTATTTTCTTCATTGCGCATGCACGGTCTCTGTCTACTATTATAGTGGAACACAATGCACTTCTTTGTATACCAAATCTCCTTCATAAAACATGCATGCATCTTTTACTAAATTTCCCTCTCGCATATAACTAATGCGTAAACGTCGTGCGACGTGTGCTAGAAGACTTCATGAGTATGTTTTATTGTTTAAAAATAGAGAAAATTTAAATTGGCAGCAACTTCGATTCCGTTGAATACTTCATTGAAACAACTTTGAATCTGCAAGGAGGTGAAGCAATCACTAATCACGCCTCGTTTATTATGTTTGTCGCTTAATCAACAAAAATATTACTGTCATTTTTTTATTTGAGTTCGACGAACGAGAATGCATCCCAGCAGTGTCATACTGAGATTTGGGATCAGATTTGCTACTTTCTGATGTGTCGTCATAGTAACAGGAGACTAAGTGCTCGTTTTATTTTGACATTTTGTTGTTAATTAGAGTATATATGAGCCATCGCTGTTCTTAAATTACTCATATTGCGGGTAACCTTTTGAGTCACATACGCTATGAGCCTGTGAAGTGATAATGTTAACCTTTTTGTTAATGATCGTTAACCAAAAATCTATTCCGAACGCACGTCACTAATCTGTGATCAGTGCTAGTAATAGTAAAAATTTATAGTAATAAGCATAAGCATTTTCTATTATATTCCACAAAGTCTTATTTTATTATTCAGTAATAAAAATACTTTGATCAACACAATCGAAAGCCTTTTAATTTAAGGTCTAGAGATATAACACCATTCCAATAAGTACGGTAAATAAAGGAACGTTAATTAAAGGTGCATAATGGTCAAAGATTAATAAACCAATTATGTTTAAAAAAGGGATATTAAAATGAAACGACAGAAAGTTTGAGTTCCTTCAATGTGGTCGCTAGTCGAATCTCGTTAATCAAGAAGACAATCCTTTAAATTATCACATTTTTGCTCACATTTTTCCAGAGTCGCAAAATTTTTTTCGTTGCTTTTGCATTTTTCATATATATAAAAGAATAATGCAAACAATTATGGTCAGTCAGGTAATGACGAGACAAGACAAGAGAAGACAAAATCCTATATAAAAATTAATATAAAATAACTTATATAATTAGGATATGAGGCTTCATGTCAAAATAAATTTTCAAGCGGTTTTCAAAAGCACATTTTAAAAAATTTTTGCCTAATATAATTTATGATAATTATTATATGTACTAGCTTCTTTCGCAAAGCAATTTATCCCGGAGCCGGTGCGGAGCACCGTGCGAGGGTACTAATTCCCCTCGGATATTTACACCTACGATGTGCAAATGCGAAATCAAAGTCGTCCGCCATTATGCAATGGACCTCACGCCATGGACGGTCTTCTACGTTATGCGCACGGGCCAATGTGAACTACTAAGTTCTTCATTGGTCGAGAAAAAAATTTGTATTTTCAAACATCAATGAATAACTGTCATATGGAATATATGTATTTTTTATTTAAATTGGTGGGAAACTCGAATGTGGTCAGGACTTTTCACGGTTGAACAAATAACAAAGCAAATTTTCGAGTTTCGACCGAACTCATCGTGTATAATAAAGTCGGAAGATTTTACAATTGGTAATATTTCATCCGGCGCAGCTTTAAAAAGTAATTCTTTTGTGGCAAACACAACTTTAATATTCTCAGTTTCTCTACTATAACTCTGAATGTGTTATGTGATAAACGACATTATAATTCCATTTATAAACTCCTTTTTCATAATAACAAAAGAAAATCAAAACCGGTCGAAGCGAAACATAAAACTTCGTAAGTTGTATAAGAAGTCTGATGTTATATTTCATGGTATTTATTCTCAAAATAATTTACCATAACACTGACTATAGATGAGTAACTTAACATCCAGAAAAAGGTAGGAATTTTGTCGTATTTCTGCCATTTTTTCACAAAAATATGAGGGTAAACTTTGATTCTTTAAAAATATACGGCCGTTGCGAGTTGCTATGACTACAGTGTTTCCACGTGCAGAAAAATATTCCATATTTTTTCAATTTCTTTTTCTCACTATACTATGATGTACCCTCCAAAACCCCCAACGCACATAAAATTTTCTAACAATCATGTTACCATCCCCATGCTTAACTAATTCTGCTCAACTGAGGCGAGGGGTTGCTGCATGCATGTATTTCTAGTTAAGAAATGTATATCAATAATGGCTAGCTTCTACAAGTTTCTTCGGATCCAATTTTTTTTAGCTGAGTTTGCCATTCGTTGCCTCCAGCGCCTTTAGCCTGATAACACAAACAAACCCAGATTATGGTTAATAAAGAAACTATAATTAAAGTTGCATAATGGTTTATAGTACCTAAAGAATGATGATGTATTGTAGTAACGCTAACAAAGGCTTCTCCAACTTGAGGCTTGACATTCTCTGAATACCTTATAATTCTCTAAACTCTATAGGGGAGTAAAAATGAGGGGGGAATATGTCCTACCTTTATGGAATTGCTTACAAAGTATGAACAACAAACTTCATTACAGAGTGACGACAATGATTAATCTACTGCGCCCAATTCGCCAAAGATGTAGCCCAACTCGCTATGAAAACCGGTAAATTGCTGCTCACACATGCATGACAAGTTCGATATATACCCTACCCCTAACCCTAACCCCAAGATTTGATGTATCATGTTTTCCGTGCGATGCACCATGAATGCAAATTTAACTAACGTAGACACGCTCGTTCCAAGCTAAATCTTTTTTCTATCCATATACACTGAATGATCTTTCAAAAAAAGTAAAAAAAAAATCATTTTTAAAAAGTTATGCTATACCAAGTACCACCAACCTGCAAAGCACGTCTGCGACAAACGCCACGATTTTTTTCTTTTACACGTGTACCAAATCTGCCAGCAGCCTGGGGGATGCATATTCACGATTCACGGTTTCACATTCCCATTTAAATCAAGATGCAAATATATAACATAAATAATTCACTCGAAAAAATAATAAAATGGTGAAAGGCAATTGTGAATATGACAATATAATTACATCGCTATAAATTATACATAGCCACGGCCTAAGTTCAAACGTCTTTTCCCCGAGCCGGTGCGGAGCACCGTGCGAGGGTACTAATTCCGCTCGGATATTTATACCCACGATATGCAAATGCGAAATCAAAGTCGTCCGCCATTATGCAATGGACCTCACGCT